GGTGTACGGTGTTGGTGTGCTGTGTTGGTGTACTGTGTTGGTGTACGGTGTTGGTGTGCTGTGTTGGTGTACTGTGTTAGTGTACTGTGTTGGCGTACGGTGTTGGTGTACTGTGTTGCTGTACTGTGTTGGTGTACGGTGTTGGTGTGCTGTGTTGGTGTACTGTGTTGGTGTGCTGTGTTGGTGTACTGTGTTAGTGTACTGTGTTGGTGTACATGACATCATGTTATCATGGATTGATGGTAATAACGATGGTACCATGGGTCGCCTCTAATAATGATGGTATGATGGGTTGCCTGTTATAATGATGGTACTATGGGTCGCCTGTAAAAATGATGGTCTTATGGGTCGCCTGTAATGATGGTGTTATGGGTCGACTAATAATGATGGTATTATGGGTCGCCTGTAATAATGATGGTACCATGGGTCGCCTGTAATAATGATGGTACCATGGGTCGCCTGTAATAATGATGGTACCATGGGTCGCCTGTAATAATGATGGTACCATGGGTCGCCTGTAATAATGATGGTACCATGGGTCGCCTGTAATAATGATGGTACCATGGGTCGCCACTATTTCATTAAAATTTGATTTAGATCGAGATTCTATAAATATACATATAACAAGTGTACGCTTTGAACCATACAATTTTCTCGATCAAAATAATACAAATTACTTAAAAACAACAACATAATGACAACAGCAAGGTTTTTAACATGACTAGTTCAATATAAGATTCGTTTAGTATCGGTAAGCTCTTATTTAAGAAAATATTTGATTTTTTTGTTGAGAACAAATTAAAACAGCTAGCGGTTGTTGGAAGTAGACTATCACACTTGTACAGATTAGGTGTTTCAAGCAGCTACTGTTTTCTTATTTTAACTCGAGTAAAATAATATATTCCAATTTTCAAAACTTGAAATATGTAAATAAATAGTGCTTTTTATTATAAATAGCAACATTTCTTTTAAATTTATTTATATTTTTATTTTGTCACTAAAGAATCACTCTTTATTTTTAACGACTTTTATGAAAATAAAAATAGGTATTTTCCCTTGATTATTTTCAAATAAACTAACTTCTATATTTTTACTTTCTCGTATATACGAAGTATAGAGAAAGTCTTGTAATCGTGCAAAAAACAAAATCGAGATTTTTACAAATCTCGACGTTTTACATCTCACTGATACGGAAAAACATAATTTTGCAATCTTGTCTGTATGTCTGTGTGTCTGTGTGTGTAAACACGATTACTTGAGTACCGTTACAGCTAGGTTGCTGAAATTTCATATATAAGTATTTTATCAAAATCGTAGATCCGTATCAATTTCAGTACTATTTCAGATAGATAAATGAAATTTCACATGTAAGTAAAAGATCTAATTCACTACCTTCTGTCAAATTCTGAGTAATTTTCGTTGACCGGAAGTACTAATTTACCCTATTTCCGATTTCTCAAAAAACGCATATAAATTCATAAAGTACTAATAATATTGCGCACTATTATGCACATCTTTATTTATTTGGCGTTCACTTAGTGTGCAATTAATTTGTCTACGAGATTTTATTCTATTTTTATTCTATTTTTAAAATTTTAAGTATTTAAAATGGATTAAAAAGCATGTCTATAGCCCGAGTTCCCATTCCCTGTTATTTTATATAAGAATATTCGAGAAAGTTTAGGGGAGTTTACTCCCGGTTTATTTCTAATTGTATTTGTGTTTCAAGCAGCTACTGCTTTCTTACACTAGAGTAAATAATATATTTAAAACTTCAAAACTGAGAACTAAAGCTTAGGCTATGTGGCGACCTTCTAGACACCCAGGCTATGTGGCGACCATCTAGACAGCTATGTAGCGACCATCTAGACAGCTATGTGGCGACCATCTAGACACCCAGGCTATGTGCCAACCATCTAGACACCCAGGCTATGTGGCGACCATCTAGACAGCTATGTGGCGACCATCTAGACACCCAGGCTATGTGGCGGCCATCTAGACACCCAGGCTATGTGGCGACCATCTAGACAGCTATGTGGCGACCATCTAGACACCCAGGCTATGTGGCGGCCATCTAGACAGCTATGTGACGACCATCTAGACAGCTATGTGGCGACCATCTAGACACCCAGACTATGTGGCGACCATCTAGACACCCAGGCTATGTGACGACCATCTAGACAGCTATGTGGCGACCATCTAGACAGCTATGTGGCGACCATCTAGACAGCTATGTGGCGACCATCTAGACAGCTATGTGGCGACCATCTAGACAGCTATGTGGCGACCATCTAGACACCCAGGCTATGTGGCGACCATCTAGACACCCAGGCTCTGTGTGCGACCATCTAGACACCCAGGCTATGCGGCGACCATATAGACAGCAATGTGGCGACCATCTAGACACCCAGGCTATGTGGCGACCATCTAGACACCCAGGCTATGTGGCTACCATCTAGACAGCTATTTGGCGACCTTCTAGACACCCAGGCTATGTGGCGACCATATAGACACCCAGGCTATGTGGCGGCCATCTAGACAGCAATGTGGCGACCATCTAGACACCCAGGCTATGTGGCGACCATCTAGACACCCAGGCTATGTGGCGACCATATAGACACCCAGGCTATGTGGCGGCCATCTAGACAGCTATGTAGCGACCATCTAGACAGCTATGTAGCGACCATCTAGACAGCTATATGGCGACCATCTAGACAGCTATGTGGCGACCATCTAGACAGCTATGTGGCGACCATCTAGACAGCTATGTGGCGACCATCTAGACACCCAGGCTATGTGGCGACCATCTAGACAGCTATGTGGCGACCATCTAGACTGCTATGTGGCGACCATCTAGACACCCAGGCTATGTGGCGACCATCTAGACACCCAGGCTATGTGGCGACCATCTAGACAACTATGTGGCGACCATCTAGACACCCAGGCTAACTGGCGACCATCTAGACAGCTATGTGGCGACCATCTAGACACCCAGGCTATGTGGCGGCCATCTAGACAGCTATGTGGCGACCATCTAGACAGCTATGCGGCGACCATCTAGACACCCAGGCTATGTGGCGACCATCTAGACAGCTATGTGGCGACCATCTAGACAGCTATGTTTCGACCATCTAGACAGCTATGTGGCGACCATCTAGACAGCCAGGCTAACTGGCGACCATCTAGACAGCTATGTGGCGACCATCCAGACACCCAGGCTATGTGGCGACCATCTAGACACCCAGGCTATGTGGCGATCATCTAGACAGCCAGGCTATGCGGTGACCTAATGACGAGCAGTGCATGTCGGCTATGCCAGCTGCTGCCCGTGCAATGTCCGATCAATAAATTAATTCGATTAGGGCTTGGCCATGATTCGATATGTGCAGCGGCACCGATGTTATCTTTTTTTGACACGCCGACCGTGCGCACTTAGTTGCACCGGCAACTCTTCATGTTAACTTTACAGTAGTCAGACAAGAGCACAACATGTTTGTAGTTGTTTTATCTGAGGTCCATACCGCTAGGTGGAGCTGTTTGAAACAGTAGGATAAGCTCACACAAGACACAGTGACCTGTACTAATGTACATCAACAAATACAGGGTAAACCACAACACCAAACTACACACCAAACACTACACACCAAACACTACACACCATACATTACACACCATACACTACACACCAAACACTACACACCAAACACTACACACCAAACACTACACACCATACATTACACACCATACACTACACACCAAACACACGTAAACCACAACACCAATAAACACAATTAAACCAATCATAAAACACACCAACAATCAATCAACACACGTAAACCACAACACCAAACACTCCATACCAAACACAAGTAAACTACACATAAAACACACCAACAATCACACCAACACATGTAAACCACACACCCAACAAACATAACTCACACAATAACAAACAACTGTAAACTACACTCAATAGCAAACACACGTAAATAGAACGCTAAGTTAGTGACTACACCGAATGTAAATAATTTAAATTTTTTATTGACAAATGCAACTTTTCTACATGGGTCACCTGTGGTCATATGTACATCATTTCATGAAACATTGGGTCTTATTTACATCATCTTTGACCCATGTGGGTCATATCTACAACATATGAAAAATGTGGGTCATATCTACATCATAAAACCTTTTAGTCTAAAAATGGACATTCTCGAAAAAAAAAAACATGCCTAGCTGAATATTTCATTTTATACAGGAACATCTAAAGCGAAATTTCATACGTGACACTTAAACTGATTTTGTGAAGAACCTATTGTTGGAATTATTATGTTGAAGTATGCCGGATATTATAAATGTTGTAGGAAATTGTGTTAACGATCCTAAATATGAATAAATAAATTGTCAGAAGTTACATTTTTAATATTAATGTAAAAATACAACGAAAGGTTGGAGGCAGTACCGACATTTCATAATTTTATTCGTCGAAAAAAATATAAATAATAGTATCTAAATAATATAGAAATTGAATTTATTCAACAAATCCAATTTATAAATTGTTAAACACAAATTAAGAAATCTGAAGGTTTTTTTCTCTTTCCCACGCATGCGCACATAATATATAAATAGATCAAAATATCTAATCACCTACTCGTACACATAAAAAAAAACATTTCAAAGATTCACACATTGTATTTTTTTTTTGCCCAGGGTTTGTTCTCTATAATCAAAAAATCGTATAACGGAATCTCTGATGAATTGAAATGCACTTTCTATGTACAAATACATGCAAACATGTACAAATAGATGAACACGTACATGCACGCATACATATACATGAACATATACATGTGCATATGTGTGTACACATAGATAGCATGGCGCAGCCCAATCACCTTGACTGTATCCCCATTAAATTATGCACGAGACATCCTACCCCCACCCCTTCTCTTAGCTGCTGCCCGTGGGTTTTCCTTCACCCCCCCCCCCATTCTCCCACCCCACCTGACAATGTTTATTTACATTTTTGGCATTGATAAATTAAGTTGGGACATGTTGAACAAATGTATTGACACAACATACGTCACGGTCTGGTGACTCACCCTTCCTGGTGGTGTTCTAACACCTTTCTCCGTGGTGTCTTAACACCCCTTTCCAAGGTGTTCTGACACCCTCCATGGTGTTGTTACATCCGTTATTGGTGGTGTTCTAGCTTCCTCCATTTCCATGGTGTCATCACACCCGTTCTATGATATTCTGACACCCTTCCATGGTGTTATGACACCTTCCATGGTGTCCTCACAACACCTCCTGGCAGCTATACACCACCACAGTAGAGGAAACAGAACGGCTTGTATATCACATATCCGCCATCTTTAAGTTTATTTTTAGTAACATTTGAGATAAAAGTAGGTCATTGAACATTTGTAAACAAATCATCCAATATGGCTGTCAAATCTGACGCCAAACAACAGAAATAATTTGACATCATAAAGAGGACTGTCTTTGACTAAACTGACGTCATTGAAAAAATGACGTCACTGAAACAATTCTCACGGCAATCAGGTTATCACTGCATCTACGTCACCAGATCTTGTGACGTCATGGACAGGAACGCCATCCCGCTAACAAATTGTGAGCAAAGAATGAAAATAAGCTCCAGGGGAAAAGGAGCTTAATTGAGCTAAAGAGCTGAAGTATCGGAGCAGGCAGAAAATTCTCGATGCTGCCTTGACGGGCATTCTGCAGCACTGTTCTGGCACTATGGATGACGTTCCGAGTTGGTCGGCAGCGTGACGTGGCGGTGACGTCACAGGAAGTTGGGCGGCGTCTGCTGTAGGTAACATGATTGCGTGTTCATTGGTTGTCATAAGGGCGGTGACGTCAGAGGGCTCCAGCTGGCACGTGACGCGTCGACGGGGCGTGTCGTGGAGGTCACGTGAGACGAGAAGACATTGAGGTCACAGACCGGATGTTCGAAACCGCTGGGTCCCTGGGGACTGCTGCTGGAACTTCCGCCTCCGGAGTTCTGGGGAAAAGGTGAGGGTGTTTTAATTGTGTGATGGCAGGTTCGTGTGGCGATGTGGGGTGATAAAGATGATCGGCAATAAAGATGTTTGGTAATAAAGATGTTTGGTAATAAAGATGTTTTGTAATAAAGATGTTTGGTAATAAAGATGATCGGCAATAAAGATGATAGGTAATAAAGATGATAGGTAATAAAGATGATCGAGAATAAAGATGATAGGTAATAAAGATGTTTGGTAATAAAGATGTTTGGTAATAAAGATGATAGGTAATAAAGATGATAGGTAATAAAGATGATAGGTAATAAAGATGATAGGTAATAAAGATGATCGAGAATAAAGATGTTCAGTAATAAAGATGTTTGGTAATAAAGATGATAGGTAATAAAGATGATAGGTAATAAAGATGATAGGTAATAAAGATGATAGGTAATAAAGATGATCGGTAATAAAGATGATCGGTAATAAAGATGTTTGGTATAAAGATGTTTGGTTTAAAGATGTTTGGTAATAAAGATGATCGAGAATAAAGATGATAGGTAATAAAGATGATCGAGAATAAAGATGATAGGTAATAAAGATGATCGGCAATAAAGATGATAGGTAATAAAGATGATCGGCAATAAAGATGTTTGATAATAAAGATGATAGATAATAAAGATGATAGGTAATAAAGATGATAGGTAATAAAGATGTTTGGTATAAAGATGATGAGCAATAAAGATGACCTGTAATAAAGATGTTTGGTAATAAAGATGATCGGTTATTTGGATGTTTTTTAAAGTTGGGCCCTTAAGATCTTTGGTTAAGATGTTTGATAATAATGTGATTTGGCCATCAAGATATTTCGTTAAAAGAAAGTTTAGTACTAAAGATGTTTGGTGATTAATTTATTTGATAATGCAGATGTGTAGTAACAAAGGCATTAGGCAATTAATTTAGTTAAAAAAATGTGCAATTAAATATATTTAAAACAGCTATTTGGTAATAAAGAGATGTGGTCAACGTGTTTAGTAACTGAATGTTTGGTACTAATGTCTTCTTCTTCTTCGTTCTTAATTTAACTAATGTCTCATGAAGATTTCAGGATGCTATGATGTTTTCAAAAAGGTTTAGGATGTTAGGTAAGACAGTTGAAATTGATGTTGTCTTGTGATGAAGACATCGTGATGTCATAAATGAGGATGTCCAGAACATGATGTACTCACCACCGTGATGTTGCCCATGGTCGGGCTGGACGTCGACGTAGGTGCGAGACCGTAGGGGGCGGGGCTACGTAGGTACGACGGCATGGCACAGTTCTGATTGGGCGAGAGGTTGCTGACGCCACTCATCCACATTCCGTACTGGCTGTTGGAGGGGTGGCCCGGGGTGAGCATGCCGTGGGCCCCTCCCATGGACATGTTGGCCCAGTTCTCCGAGGCCAGGTTCAGCATGGGTAGGTTGGCCCCGACGTCACGCTGAAAGTTACCTGCGAGTGGGGGGGGGGGGGGGAGAGAAGTGGCAATCACTGTTAGGTAAACTGTAACAAATGTCATAGGTTCGTCAGTGGTCAAAAAAAAAAAAATTCGCGTTGTTTTTAATTTTTTTTTTCGCGCCAAGTTAGATGAGTTGTTTGCGGAAATTCTAGAAATGTCCGAGTTCCACCCCTCGGCGCGTCATCGGGGGGTGGTCACGCCGGGGAGAAATACCTGCCGGAGCATCACTGACAGCTGGTGTGACCCTAAAGGTCACGCGTGACAGGTAAAAACCCGTGGGGGTCGTAGCTGACGGCGGGGACAACTTTCAGGGTCGTCAGTGGCAGGAAGGGTCAGTGTTGTCAACAAGCACAACTAGAGCCCTGACAATTTGTTTGACCTAATATCTGAGGTCAGCAATATGACCTAATACACAGATGGCAAGACCTTACTTGCAAGTAGTTTGACATAACCCGAACAGTTAAATCAAATATCTACGGTCAGCCGAATGACGGTGGAATGACCTAATATACAGATGGCAAAAAAAGACCTTAACCTCAGGTAGTTTAACGCTGGGTTATTAAGGTCAACACAAAAAGATGACCTAATATACAAATGGCAAGACCTTAATTGCATAATATTTGATTCCAGGCGGGATAACAAAAAAATTGAATTTTTGAATACCAGATTGTTTAGGGCTTTAAAATCATGTTATTAAGATATGAAAACCATCGAAAAAGGGCACATGAGACATGGACATATATCCCATGTGATGGTGGGTAGTGGTTTATCATTTAATTAAGCTGGGTTGGTGATATAGAGCAACGTGACTCCACCAATGTTCCAGATGGCTTCATTGTTTTGTCTTAGTTTTATTTTTAAACTTTTGCAGATCATGCAGCTCAGGTTGACATAAGTTCCGTGCATATTTTTCAAACACAAAATAATTATTTTTAATGCAGATGTTATTTTTTTTCAGCAACAACAATAAATCTTATTTCCATAACGGATTTTGGACATTTTTCAAGGGGGCAGTATCACCCAGACTAAGGGAGAGAAGCAAAAATATTCACCAAAAAAAAACTATTGGACTTACACATTTGTCAAATTTTTACCGTGGTAGTAATGTATCTTATAATACAGCATAAAATTTTTGGGGTATAGGTGTAGCACATTTTTTATAAAAATTATTTGGTAATATTTTATTACATTTCTACATTTTGTGTAAACAATTTTAAGAAACTATAGTAAAGTAATTAAAATTTTGTATGAATATTCCTTAACGATATATAGTAAATTGATTTTTGCTCATGGCTTTTTCTGCCAGTATTAATATATCCATTAGACATTTGTAATAGAAGACAAAGGTGTGAAAGAAAAGGATTTGAACTAAATCTAGACTATATATATATTAGATAACCACGATAATCCTACAATGGTATTGCTTTTGATACATTTCAATTTGTAATAGTTAATATTAATAAAAACAAGTTAATTAAAAAGTCTAGTGACAATTTTAGCGCAATTTCCTTATGTTATCTAAAAATAGCTCTGTCGTAGCGTAAATCAAGAGCAGGGTTAGTAAAACCATTGGTTAAAATACATGTTTTATTTACAATAGAGTTACATGGCTAAAAACCATTGCGCGCCTAGCTACTGAACGTGATGACGAAGCCATAGAACGTGATGGTGCAGCTATTGAACGTGATGACGCGTGTGGTGTGGTTGGAAAAAATGCCTACTATTTCGGTCCAAATGTTAATTAATTCAAAAAAATATTTGTGACCGAATGAAAGGATATTTTTGAAAACTTTCTTCGGCAATATTGTTCTAAATTATGGCAGGAATCGATTGGTACATGTTTCAAGTCGCTAAGTGGTCTGGTTGCCGAGATATGGGCAAAAAACTGCTTTTTTCGAGTTTTTTTTTGGCTTTTCCAGGAAATCCATGAAAGAAATCCTCGTAACTTGCTTAACATAATTGCTTTTGAAACTAGTCATCGATATTGCTTCGTTGAGGAGGAGATACGGCTTAAAGCTGCGGACACACATCCATCCATCCATCCATCCATTCATACATTCATACATCCAGAAATGACGGGTTAATAAACGCAATTCTCCAGAATGGAAATTGCGCTAAAAACAATAGTATCTCCTTCTATATTAATAAACGTCTCATTTGTTAAATTAAAAAATTAAAAAATTCTAAAAAGCACAAAATTTGTCACAATAGATATCTTCTAGTTCCAACGGTAGGCTGCCATGCTATGCATCTCCTTGAGTCATTTCAACAGGATGGGTTTAATTGTTGGAAAACCGCAGCTCAATATTTCTTATTAAAAATTTTTGAGGAAAATTATTTATAAAAAATGTTTGACTTTCCTTTATGTGCTGTTTTATAGTTCCTTATGGAAAAAAAATTGTGTGTGTGTAATCGTTGTTTTTTTGTTTTTTTTTTGGCAAATCTTTTCGTCAAATTTTCATTGTCTGGGTGATACTGACGTACATTGCGTCTTGGGTTAAGGGGGAATCGTTGGCTCGAGGTACCTAGAGGGGTAACGTTCTGATGTATAGAAAATTATTTGGGGTAGGTGTAGGGGTGACCGTGGTAGCGCACTGCCCCATGTTTTAAACGATGTAAAGAGATTTCAATGCGGCCCACACAAGAAAGTTTTAAGAGGCTCTCTACCCCGCACATCTTAAGGTTCGTAGGCTTAGACCTAAATCAAATAGTCAATAACCGATAGAAAATCTAGCATCACCTAACATGACCTAATAGATAGCTAACATGACCTAATAAAGAGCTAACATGACCTAATAAACAGCTAACGTGACCTAATACATAGCTAACGTGACCTAATAGATAGCTAACATGACCTAATAGACAGCTAAAATGACCTAATAGACAGCTAACATGACCTAATAGACAGCTAAAATGACCTAATAGACAGCTAACATGACCTAATAGATAGCTAACATGACCTAATAAAGAGCTAACATGACCTAATAAACATCTAACGTGACCTAATAGATAGCTAACATGACCTAATAAACAGCTAACATGACCTAATAGATAGCTAACATGACCTTATAGACAGCTAACGTGACCTAATAGACAGCTAACGTGACATAATAGACAGCTAACGTGACATAATAGACAGCTAACGTGACCTAATAGGTAGCTAACATGACCTAATAGACAGCTAACATGGCCTAATAGATAGCTAACATGACCTAATAGACAGCTAACATGACCTAATAGACAGCTAACATGACCTAATAGATAGCTAACATGACCTAATAGACAGCTAACGTGACCTAATAGATAGCTTACATGACCTAATAAACAGCTAACGTGACCTAATAGACAGCTAACATGGCCTAATAGATAGCTAACATGACCTAATAGACAGCTAACATGACCTAATAGACAGCTAACATGACCTAATAGATAGCTAACATGACCTAATAGACAGCTAACGTGACCTAATAGATAGCTTACATGACCTAATAAACAGCTAACGTGACCTAATAGACAGCTAACGTGACCTAATAGATAGCTTACATGACCTAGTAAACAGCTAACGTGACCTAATAGACAGCTAACATGACCTAATAGACAGCATGTAGAAGACCACGCCCACTGGAGAAACCCGAGTATGTAAACAACACCAACCGACTGTGTGGCCTACTAGACAATAAATACCTTCAGTGGCCTTGTTTTTATTGCATGCGATGGCCGTTATCTTATAACAGGCTGGCATCTATATCACAACAAGATGGCCCTTCTTGCAACACTAGTGGCCCTTATTGTATAACAGGCTGGCCTCAATCTCACAACACGGTGGCCCCCTATCTTACCGTACGATGGCCCCTATCTTGTACGATGGCCCCTATTTACCGTACAATGGCCCTATCTTACCGTACGATGGCCCCTATCTTGTACGATGGCCCCTATTTACCGTACAATGGCCCTATCTTACCGTACAATGGCCCTATCTTACCGTACAATGGCCCTATCTTACCGTACGATGGTCCCTATTTTGTACGATGGCCCCTATTTACCGTACGATGGTCCCTATTTACCGTACAATGGCCCTATCTTACCGTACGATGGCCCCCTATCTTACCGTACAATGGCCCTATCTTACCGTACGATGTCCCTATCTTACCGTACGATGGCCTCTATCTTACCGTACGATGGCCCCTATCTTACCGTACGGTGGCCCCTATCTTACCGTACGATGGCCCCTATCTTACCGTACGGTGGCCCCTATCTTACCGTACGATGGCCTCTATCTTACCGTACGATGGCCCCTATCTTACCGTACGATGGCCTCTATCTTACCGTACGATGGCCCCTATCTTGTACGATGGCCCCTATCTTACCGTACGATGGCCCCTATCTTACCGTACGATGGCCCCTATCTTACCGTACGATGGCCCCTATCTTACCGTACGATGGCCCCTATCTTACCGTACGATGGCCCCTATCTTACCGTACGATGGCCCCTATCTTGTACGATGGCCCCTATCTTACCGTACGATGGCCCCTATCTTATTGTACGATGGCCCCTATCTTACCGTACGATGGCCCCTATCTTACCGTACGTTGGCCCCTATCTTACCGTACGATGGCCCCTATCTTACCGTACGATGGCCCCTATCTTACCGTACGATGGTCTCTATCTTACCGTACGATGGCCCCTATCTTGTACGATGGCCCCTATCTTACCGTACGATGGCCCCTATCTTACCGTACAATGGCCCTATCTTACCGTACGATGGCCTATGTTCGCGGTTTAACTATTTCCCCCGCTGACCTAAAAAAACAAATTTCGATCATAAATTGATCCCATCGATCCCCTGATTCAAATTCGATGAGCCGGCTCCCAGTTAATTTCGGAGTCAGCCGCTCTTATAAAAGACCGTGACCGGTGCCTCCCCGGCGAGCCGGCTGGTAAATAACCACGGGGTCACTCATGCGTGCCCGGGGACGCGCTGGGTGGTTTTCTCTTCACCTGGGTGGGCCGGCATTAAGTGTCAATCATTACTTTATGTGTTATGCTTTGTTGCGCATCATCATCGTGATCTACCCTACACGAGATCTCGTACCCTCGCGTGAGATCTCTGCCGGTCTTGTAGTAGGGGAGGGGGGGGGGTGACCTGCCGGTATGGAAAGCTGGGCAGACAAAAATAACAGGAAAAAGAGGGGGGCGGAAAGGTTTAAAAGACTATATCCATGGTGGACAGAACAACGGGTTTTTTTTTTAAAGCGGTCTTTACAACAGATGCGACGTGACATTGTAGGCCGGAAATTCGTTGCCTGATGCGACTTCCGGGTGGCAGGAAAAATGGCGGCGACATCGCGACTGGTCTGGTGACGGGCAGAAAAAGAGAGAATGTGGGGGAGGGGGGAGGATTAGTATGACGTCACAGGGCGTGGTGTACTTACTGTGGTGCGGGGGTGACCGCCGCTGGTAAGGGTGGTGGTAGCCGGGCGTCTGTCTGGATGATCGGAAGGTCAGGCGGTCGCAGTGGGGGAGGTGGGGCGCGAACTGGTGCGCGGGGGGCGGGACTAAGGGGTGGGCCGAGGGGGACGTCAGGTACCATGGCGTTGCGACTGAAAAAAATAAAATTTCAAAAGTTATTTTATTTATTTTATTTTATTACCAAATTTATTAATATGAACTGAATATTTTTAGTGTTCACTAACATTATTTGACTGAGATCTAAGTGAGAATTTGAATAGTTCACAATGAGTGTACAAGACTAGTTTGTTACTGAACGTAATGTGATAGACCTTACATAAAGACCTATAATAATAAAGACCGTATGTAAAGTGGGTGTCGGGGGTTGATAAAAGACCTATTGATGAGATAATGGTCTATGTGAGCTATGAGGTAAGACGATGAAGACAGAGATAAGTTCACTGAACCCTAAAAAAGACGTTAGTATAAAGAAATTGTGATACATAAATTTATGACACAGAACGGTTAAGATTAATGATCAAGAACATCAGAAAAACATATTTATGAGATAACGACATACAGTGATAATGAGATCAAATGTGATACGACAGTTAATGAGGCAGACGATGAGATAAAAACATAGATTTAAACAGTGAGATAGAAAAACAGATATCACTGACAGCGAGAAAAAAACATTAAGATATGACAGACAGTGAGATAAAAATACTGTGAGATATGACAGAATGAGATAAAAAAAACTGAGATTCTTTCATTGAGATAAAAATAATATTCTTTCAATGAGATAAAGAGTTAGACATGATTAACAATGAGATAGAAAAGTGTGAGATACTTACAATTAAATAAAAACCGAGGTATGACAGACAATGAGATAGATAAGTGTAAGATACTTACAATGAGATAAAAACAGATTATGACGAATAGATAGAAAAGTGAGATATGACCAACAGTGAGATAGAAAAGTGAGATACAATGAGATTTTAAAAACTGTGATTATGACGAACAGTTACATAGAAAAGTGAGATATGACCAACAGTGACATACAAAAACTGATATTATGACGAACAGTGAGATAAAAAAAAGTGAGATTAAAAAGTGAGATCAAAAAGTGAGATAGAAAAGTGATATAGAAAAGTGAGATACTGACAGTGAGATAAAAAAGTGAGATATTACTGACAGTGAGATTTTAAAAAGTGAGATAATACTGACAATGAGATTTTAAAAAGTGAGATATTACAGACAGTGAGATAAAAAAGTGAGATACTTACAGTGAGAGAGTGACCTGTCCTGGCCACACGAGGGGTCATCGATGTAATCTCTCTGGTCAGGTCTGGGGATGGGAGGTACGGGTGTTAGTACTTGGCTAGTGGCATATGTCAGTCGGTCATGTGACCATGTAATTATGTCACTTGGTAATGTGACTCATTATTTTACTTGGTTATGTGACTAATTATATCACTTGGTCAGGTGACCACCATAACGTCGCTCTGCTATGTGGCTATGTAAACACTTGGTCATGGACTAATTATATCACTTGGTCATGTGACCATATAATTATATCACTTGATTATTTGGCTACCTAATTTATCTGACATATATACGACATGTATACTACTTACATTTAACTTTTTTCATCTAACCACCACCCTTCCCCTTCTCTCAAACCACCATTAAAATTATGAAACAAACAAAAGCTCCTGTAAATATATCTTGATTATAGTGCTGCAGAGTACAGTTAGTCGTACTTAGCGTTCAATTGGTTTACACAGAAAACCAAGGTTTATTCAGCCCGAAGAATGAGTAGACCTATTTATTTTAGATCCGTAAGCTAAGCGAAAATCTATACTGCTAAATACTAATCTCTACACTTTGATATCGCGTTTAGGTTTAAATGTGTAAGAGATTTCGTGTGATGAAAAATAACGTGAATCACAAAGAAGTCATGTGATCGTTGTATCTTTGAAAAAATAAAAGTTATAATAGCTTTACAACTGACTAATAGATACATAAATTTAGGTTTCTAAGAAAAAGTCATGCATTTCAACAATATAAAATCGACAGATTAAAAATATTTACACAGGTAAATATACTAGACAGAATTAAAATTATAATACTGTGTTAGTAAAAGAACAACTGTTTTGTTACATTGTTACATTTGACATGCAATGGTTACATTTGGTTACACATGCAAGGATAGCAAGCGATGAGAAAGATGCAAGGTTTACATTCTGTTAGTTCAAACGTTAGCTGACAAAACTCATTTTATTTTTTATTTTCGCTTTCCACTGTTGTAATTAGGCAGATTGTCACTGTGTTAATTCAAAGTTGTTATTTGTGAATTGTCAGTGTTAATTCAAAGTTGCTAATTGAGAATCGTCAGAGTTAATTAAAACATGTTATTTTCGATTCAGTTGTGATCATGACGTAGCTGATCGTCTGATCGTGATCGTCTTACCTCTGCGTCATTTTAGCCTCGATCTGACAAGGCAGTAGGTATGGGTAAGCGTTAGGGTTTGTTCCGCTGTTGGTGGATGTGGAGAAAGACTTAGGTTAAGCAAAGCAAAGTCAAAGAAGGGTAACATCTTCGCTTCATTCTTGAACTAGGGCACTAAAACATCAATATACTCTTTCGATAAGTTCACTAATGGACAACTTTATTGTGTTCACTAAAAGGTTAATAAAAATGTTTCCAATATGTGAGGTAGGTAACTTAAAGATACGATCCGCTATCGGCTCGAGGTGATTCTAAATGCGACTTTTTAATTTGGAAAATAAAGTAGTTACTACAACAATGGCAAAAACACACACAGGTTTCTGCATACTCTGAGACCAAAATATTCCTGGGATATTGTCAGTTTAAATGACCTAATAGACAGCATAAACAGCTCGTGCCGGTCCGTCAAATAGATAATAGTTTACTTAATTATGTTAAATAAATTATTTAATCAGCTTAATAACTTTTTAAAAAAATATTCGTCATAATATGCGCTTTTTGTGTTTCATAGAGACAATTAATGAACTAAAAACAAGTTTCATTGCAATAACGGATAAATTAATAAATTATTTTTTTATGTGAACGAATGATTAAATTATTTTAGCCAAAGATAAATTGGATAATTATGTAAATTAGAATTATATTCCTCGTATTATTCAAGGCTTAAATTTTATTTAATTCATCAAGTAAATAAATTTTAAACAGAAAAAAATCTACTTAACTGATTATTAACTCCATATTTACTAAGTTTAAATTTCCAACTTAATTATAGCTGATAATTTTCGTTATTCTACATTTAAAAAAAAAACTGTAGTCCTAATATCCTAAGAAATGGAGTAGGTGCCGGGTGGTTTTGAACCCACATCTACAATCCCAGCACTCACCAAAGTCCTACAACCCCGCCCCCAAAACAAAACTCCGCCCACCTGCAGACACCTGACACCTCGTCCACCAACCAACTTGATCTTGTCTGCACTAATTAACCCTCCACCTACCACAACCAGACTGTTACATCAAACCCAGCGAATACCTCACGACCCCCAGCTCGTCAAAAAAATCAATCCGAAAATCGATTTAACTTTTATAGCTATCGCAAATATACAATTAACTTCCCCGGGGTCCCTTTGAAGGTCTGTACCACTTCCTGTTTATGGGGCCTGTCCGTTTTAAACCTAGCGACAGCTTAAACTTTAGGGGGGGGGGGGGCTGTCCGTTTTAAACCTAGCGACAGCTTAAACTTTAGGGGGGGGGGACTGTCCGTTTTAAACCTAGCGACAGCCTAAACTTTAGGGGGGGTCTGTCCGTTTTAAACCAAGCGACAGCTTAAACTTTGGGGGGGGGGGGGGGGCTGTCCGTTTTAAACCTAGCGACAGCTTAAACTTTAGGGGGGGGGGACTGTCCGTTTTAAACCTAGCGACAGCCTAAACTTTAGGGGGGGTCTGTCCGTTTTAAACCAAGCGACAGCTTAAACTTTGGGGGGGGGGGGGGGGGCTGTCCGTTTTAAACCTAGCGACAGCTTAAACTTTAGGGGGGGGGACTGTCCGTTTTAAACCTAGCGACAGCCTAAACTTTAGGGGGGGTCTGTCCGTTTTAAACCAAGCGACAGCTTAAACTTTAGGGGGGGGGGGGACTGTCCGTTTAAACCTAGCGACAGCTTAAGGTTGTCGGCCAATGCCGGGGGTGTCACATCAAGATAAATGAAGATTTTAGCCAGTTAGGTTTAAGCTTAGAGTTAAAATAGATCTACCAAATTTTTAAAAAATATTTTTTAAAAAGAAGAAAAGAAAGAGTGAATTAGTATGCTAGAAACCATTTAAGGCTGAGGTCTTACGCGGTCTTTTGTTAAAAAAAAAAAAAATTAAATTGGGGGGGGGGGGGGGGTGATCAATTTGTACATCTGTAAATTCTTGTTGTTCTCCGCCAAGAAAAGCTGAGTTTTAAAAAAAAAAACCTAGTTTAAATTTTATAAGATGTTACTAAGAATGCTGATTTTAAAATATTTAGTAGTTTATTAATTCACTGGGTTAGGGCTGGCTGGGTGTGAGTGGGGGGGGGGGGGGGGGGGGGGGGGGAATCTAAATTTCACAAATAATTCGGGCAGCCATTCAAACCAAGCTGTTCTGGGGTGACATCTAAATTTGGAGATACGAGAAAGCCACACAGAGAAAAACGCTATATGACATACAAAAGCTAGGAGAATATAATTAGCGTGCTACACAGTTCTAGTGAAAATACAAAAGCTAAGAGAAACTACTAGCGTGCTACACAAACGATATAAAACCCATGTCCACTACATAATTATGTTGAACTTACCGTTCTTTGGCGTCCAGGAAAGCTTTGGCGAATGGATTGTGCTTGATCTTAAGAGCGGTAATCTGTTGATCAAATCATATCAGTCATGATACTGGGGGTATAACTGCTTGAGTTAACAGGAATAAATTACACCTTTTTTTTTAAAGGCTAGCTAAAATTATATTCATTTTTTAAAAATAATAATAAATACGTAGGCCTACAAAGAATTTTTAAATGAAAAAATGTTTTACGCTTAAGTGAAATCTTAAAGCAACGAGGGAACTCGGCTGTGAGGGAACATAGCAGGGAGAGATTTCTAAATCTCCAAATATGGGAGATAACTGATAAGTGCTAAAGCAGGGACAGAACCCCTAAAGACTGTGACAACTCATAAATAAAGGGAGATAACTCGTACAGCAAGGAGAGAACTTGAACAGCAGGGAAAGAACTTGAACAGCAGGGAGAGAACTTATACAGCAGGGAGAGAACTTATACAGCAGGGAGAGAACTTATACAGCAGGGAGAGAACTTACCTCTTCGTTCTGATACGCCGTGACGGCGATGAACTGGGTCTCAGGGAAGCTGAAGGTGAGGATCGTCTTCTTCTGTGTGCGTGAGTTGACCTTGACCACGTGCAGGCGCGGCTCGTACTTGTGGAGTGAGTTCAACATGATCTGAAAACACATAAGGACCATGTGACGTAGCAGCAACAAGATGCTGGTCACCATTGGTGACCTGGAGGTTCAGTATTCTGAAAGAATCTTTAATAAGAGGGTAGTGGACAAGCCGACTAAGAGGGTAGTAGACAAGCCGACAAGTAGGGTGGGGTGACAAGCCCTTATAGAGGTGGGGGTGGCGAACGATCAAAGTGGTGGGGGTGATTCCACAATTGGGGTGGTGACGCCATTTTAGAGGGGGTAGCGAGCCCTTAAGTGGGGTTTGGGTGATGATTTCAAGAAGGGTGTGGGTGACGGCGCCCTCAAGGGGAGCAGAGGGCGACAAACCCTCAAGGGCGTTTGGGTCATTCTGTGTGATGTGACAAGCGACGGGTCAATGTCCTCACACCTGTCATGTCCACATCTCCTGATGGCCACAACCACGTCTTGACCGGCAGCCAGTGAAGGTGGCGACGACGCGCCTCGCGATAACGGTGTCGATGACTCACTTAAAGTCGAAGGCGCTGTGATCCACTTACCGCTGGACGTAGTACGATACACCTGGGTCACGTTACGGGTATTATCTACGTCAACTTGACACCCGTGTGCCAGGTGGGCTGACGGCGAATACGTGGGAGAAAATATCTGGCCAGTCTTGTTGGCCAACATGAGTATTGATTGGTTACATAGGTGTTTGGTTTTTCTATTGATGTCAGGACAATTGGTACAATTAGTGGTACAAGTTGATGAGCCGGGGACCTTACAGTTTGTGGCCGTTAATTGTTTTATTGCTTGGTCTGGGACAACAGGATGTGACGTCATAGTTAAACGTTTTCTATAGGGAATGAAACTTTGTGGACGAAGAAGGTGGGGGGGGGGGGGTATTGAGCGGATGCTGTGTTGTAGGTTTAGCTGTAGGGTTAAAGGGGCTTGATGACAAGAATTGTGAGACATGAATGTATGGATGTTTTTTAAAAATGTAACATGAATGTTTGGGATGGCGTGGTCGGGTGGTAGAGCATACCACTGATAACACATAAGGTTTCGAGTTCGGATTCCAGGCTCTAAAGGATGTCTCAGCTTTGATGGATACCTGATTCTCGTTACGGAAATCAAAGGCGGTTGGGCATAGTGCTGACCACTCTATCCTTTTATATGCAGGTTTTAAAAAAAACATATTTACTCTGCTTCATCTGCCCCATGTAACTCCAGGTTTGCAAGGGTACTACCATAAAATGGTCATAAAGAAAATAGAGGCTGTTAAAAAAAATTGTGAACGTTTTAAGTAATTGTGAACGTTAGTAGCAAAACTGAATATTGACTGACAACAGGTGCGACTGTGTTGTCTGACTGACGAAGACTAAATGACTGCGACATCTGACTGACTGAATGACTGAGACGAATGAGAGACGAGCACTAAATGACTGCGACGTCTGACTGACGTTGACTGGATGACTGCGGCGTGTGACTCCCCGAATCTTTGATGTGTTGTAACACGATCTCCTTACCCCACCAACCGGGGCCATTAGTCCGCAGATCGCACCTAATTAATTAATTGACTGTATTTATTACACCTAAATGGTCCATTACGTTTGGAGCTGAAGATTTTTTTTTCATACCGCTGTATTCAAACGCTGCAGCTGTTGAACCGGCCACAGATGTGACGCCCGGATTATGCCGGCTTTGTTTGCCGGGAGAAACCGGGGATCGTGTTGTCGTACGTTTCTATTTTGTTTTCGGATATCCGGCGGTTTTTTTTTTGGGGGGTAACATCGGAATTTTATGACTCATCCATCATTGCCGAGTCGGCTGGAGTTGACGCCTGACGCCTGGTCGTGACTCCAGCGTGAGTATATCCCTCTCCGTGAGAGGTCTGGGGGTCAAGCTACGTGGTGCCAGATAGTGCTCAGGCGCGATGCCATGACGCGGTAGTTAGGACGTTGGTGTGAAGTGCGAGTACGGCCTGACCGGAAGTGGCCGGCCATAAAGATTCTGCGACTGACTTCCGTCAGTTTATATATTGAAACATTTACTCGCCAAGGAATGTCAACATAGCGATAAGGTGGGCCACTAATGGCTTGTATGATGGCGTCTAAACGTCCGTGAAAGTGAACTAATTTATCCTAGGGACGGCCAGTCTCATACCGGCTCATATGATGGCCTAGGAAGAGCCCAGAAAAACTAATTAATTTATCCCAGAGCCGTCCCATCTCTTTCCGGCTCGTGCGATGGCCCGCAAACGGCTCTTAAGACGGCTCACAAAACGGCTCATGAAAGTGAACTAATTTATCCCGGATCCGGCCCATCTCTTTGTGCGGCTATCAGCGACTCCATCAACCTGGTTGATGTCGGGCCACCCATGCCGACAACCCGTGACAACCACCTACACTCAATCCCCCCCCCCCTCACCCATCTACCCCCAAAACGGTAAACAATACGTGTATGGTAAACAATACCCACCAGACGGTAACTGAGAAGCGTCGGTTGGTAGAGGCGAGCATCGTGTGATGAAGGCGGGGGCCACCTCGCACATAGGTGTCGCCACCAGCGGCGGGGGGGACACCACCACAATATAGATACAAAATCTCCACGACGATTAGTACACGTGATATTTCGTCTTGGTTATATAAACGAACCTAATCAATATTCAATTGAAACCCGGCGTCCTCCGTCCCCCTTGACAAGAGCGCCGCCCATGATTTGGATACGCCTGACCGCCTCTCGCCGCATGACGGAATGATGACGATGGTATCACTTTCCGGCGTCATTGATCGCGTCAAGCCAAGCAGCGCGGACCTCCCTTAGCGCGCTTTTCTTCAGGCCCGGCCGATGCCATCCGGGGACTCGGCTCTTTTCGCCGTAATGAATTATGGGATACACGCGGCGGAATACGGGGACACTTCACAGTCCAATCCCTCCGCAATTAAGCACTTTATCCTCGGAGCGCCGTCTTCAGTCCTAGTGTGCTGTAGGTGTGTAGTGAAGCCTCCTGTGTAACACGCAACACAGCGACAGTTAGTATTTGGTGATACAGCGGTTATAAAAATCGATTTTAAACCTTGAATGATCAGCGCTCGAATAAAATAAAAAAACGATCTATCTCGCCCATACTATAATACCCAGGATTTATGAAAGTCCAAAAGGCTTTTAAACCCACTTCATATTTATAACCCTTTTGTCAACGGATAGAAAGCCGTTGGGATGCACTTAATTTTACAGCCTACATTTATGTGCCTTGACAGCATGGGACATAGGCCATAACTGTCTTTCAACTAGCGAGGGAACGCTTAGCGGACGTGTTGGGGAAGAGAGAGGGAAGGTGGGGGTCGGGGGGGGGGGGGGTCGGCAGACTGGAGATTGCCTTAGATTAATATATCCATAGCTGTATCTTATATATAAAAATTGTTATATAATGTTTATCCTACTAATTCTATTGTCTATTTTTGGTGTGAGTATAAAATCTGAAGCTATCTATATTTTCAATGAGATGTTCGCGTCAAGGTGTATTGAAACACCCGACCACCTGACATGCCCCCCAACTTACCTCCCCATTTATCCCAGGTAAATTGTCCCCCTTTTTTGTTTGGGGGGGGGGGGTTTGATTTTTTCTGTCGCGCTGACCTTAGAGGCTGACACCCGCCCGTCACACACAGCGACTCCAGTGCCATTAGGACGACAGCCACGTACTGGCAGGCGAGACAGCCCGGGGGGGGGGGGGGGGGACAGGCCAGCCCCTGGCTTACAAAACGTCCGAGATTGGTCTGAAAGGGGGGGGGGCAATGAAACTAGATCGAGTCCCGGGGTACGTTTATGCCGGGTGGCCCTCTCTCCCCTGGCTCACTCTGGGCTGACACGGCTTAGGGCTGGGGGGAGACGGGGGTTTTACGGCCCTCTTATGGGCTCCTAAACGCGCTGAAATGTGAGCCGCAGAGCCGTGATAGTCTAAGCGGCTGATGGGGTAGATCGCTTGATCGACAAGCTTGGTAGGTCCGGTCACGTGGTCCAGGCACGTGGTGCGGTCACGTGGTCAAGTGGGTGATCTGGTCATTTGGTCAAGTCGTTTGGTCAAGTCATTTGGTCAAGTCATTTGGTCAAGTCATTTGGTCAAGTTACTTGGCAAAGTCGTTTGGTCAAGTCGTTTGGTCAAGTCGTTTGGTCAAGTCGTTTGGTCAAGTCATTTGGTCAAGTCATTTGGTCAAGTCATTTGGTCAAGTTACTTGGCAAAGTCATTTGGTCAAGTCGTCTGGTCAAGTCGTCTGGTCAAGTCGTTTGGTCAAGTCATTTGGTCAAGTCATTTGGTCAAGTCACCTGGTCAAGTCACCTGGTCAAGTCACCTGATCAAGTCATCGAGTCAAGTCACTTGATCCAGCTACAAGGCTGTTCGAAATACAAGGAAGTCACAACTTATGAAAGAAATAATTCTGGCAAAGGAAGAGCTACTGACAGACAAAAAGGTCGGGTGAATCCTAAATAAGTTGGGTATAGCATCGTATCATAGCACACCGTGTAACTAGTTTAAGATGCGAACCAGGGCCACCTATAAGGCGAACTAGGCGGTCGCCTAGGGCGCCATCCCTATGGGGAGCAAAAGGTTTAATCGCTATTATCAAAAAGTACCTAATAAAGGAGTAACAATCTATTTCGGTACCCAGGACGAACTATATCAATTTTGCACCCCACCCCAAATGTAGGTCTTTATAGGCCTATATTTATTCGCGATGGTGAAAATGCAACCCAACCTCCCTAATTTGGAAAGGTCGGGGCGCTTTTTACCAGTCACTTTGCCTTTTTAATTTGGTGTCACCATAATTGATGTAGAAAACGATTAAATAAGTTCGTAATTTAAATTTCGAACATTTCAAACGGTTATCTAATTTTAATAAGGCTTGCAAGTCTCGTTTTCTCTGTCCTGGTGTATAGAGTTTTGTAATGACGGGGTGTTCAAAGTATTGTACTTGTTTGGTAAGTTTTGATGAATCGTTTAGATTTGGGAGTAACGGCGGAAGGCTGTTGCTGAT